AGAATTTGCTTCCAAGGAGCAAACCGTTCGAAAAACACTAGAGAATTTCGAAAGAGACTAGGGAACTTGAAAACAAGGAGCAAACCGCTCGAAGGGGACTAGAGAATTTGCTTCCAAAGGAGCAAATGGCTCGAAAAACACTGGAGAATTTCGAAAGAGACTAGGGAACTTGAGAACAAGGAGCAAACCGCTTGAAAGGAAGGGTGGAAGCCCGAGGCGACAGTGATCGAACCCGGCGAGTTCGGGCCATAGCGGCACGTCCTTGTTTGGCCTGTAAAAGTGTTTTTCTGCTTTCCTCGAAGCTTCATTTTGTTCCGCCTCAGGGTCCGTTTGAAGCCCCCCACAAGGCCCCCAACTAAACCCCATAGCCTCTGGGCAAAGGGCGTTCTTCAGGCCCTCTGGGTGGCGAGGGGTACACAAGACGACCTTTTAAAACCCGTCGTTGGGTTAGGAAGGCTTTTATCTCAACATCTCGGGCCCGAGGAATCTCGATTCGGGCCGCAGAGCGGCCACTGAAAGCCCTGTCCGCTAAAAGGAAAAAAAAATTAGGTCATGGATACGTGGCAGGGTAGAAGAAAAACCCGTGCGCAGCAGAGAAGGCGTTTGCAAACCCTGTCCAAGTGGGTGGAGATACAAACAAGCCCCTGGACAGCGCGGAAGGCTTTCTTCGGACTCTGGTCCGTGCATGCTCGAGAAGCTGACAGTACCCCCCGAAAAACCCAAAAAAACACCCGTTTCAGGCGCGTCCTTAAGGGGGCAGTAAACGGTTGAGGGCACTGGGCCCAAACAAGGTATCACAACCACACAACATACGAAATACGAGCATGCGGACAAATGCGGACCCTGCAATGTAGAATGCCTTGCTCGTGGCGATCTAAGCCAACTTCACCACAAACTCCGCGAGCCCAACACCGAAGTTCAGGATCGATGATCTAGCTCGGCTAGATCGTCCGAACAGGCTCCAGGGCTCCTCTAAAACCTTCCGCGAGCTTCTCAAATTTCGGTTTCAAAATGCCCTGCCGTTTGCTTAAACTCGTGATGCAAGTCGCCACGATGGGTTGCCTCCGCTTGCAGCTCCTGGGCGCCAGGGCTTGAAGGTTCAAGGCTTTCTGCTGCCTTAGCTATGGGTTTACGCTCTCGCAACTCGGACTCCGCCAGACGAGGTCTCTTGTGTCCAACCAGTGTAGCAGCTACAATGTCGAGTGGTTGTTTAGCCATGGGTTTTTTTCCCACCCGCTTCGCTGACTAGGTCGCACTGCAGGGAACAAAGCTTCGAGAGTCGTTCGAACGTGTTTGTAAGTCCCGGGGCAAAACATGGGTTTAGGGTCTAGGGTTTAGGGTTCAGGGTTTAGGGTTCAGGGTTTAGGGTGGCTTGGCTATGGCCAGACACTCTTTCCACCATGCCTTTCATGCTCCTGGCTATGCTACTGACCGTGGACAGGCCAGGGATCCAGCGCCCATGCTCTCCAAACACAAGCCTAAAATAAGGGGCCCTTGTTTGATGAAATCTCTCGTGCGAGCTAAGAGATGCCTCTGCAACCCCGCAGGCCTCGTTCATCGGCGCCGTTCTCGCCAGCTGCCTTAAGAACGAAGATGGCTTCACCGACTTGGGCGATTTCATCAAAACGCGGAGGCAATCGGAGCTTAAAACGAAACGGCCGAGGCACGCCAGGACGACCCAAAGCTGTGCCAATTGCAGCAGCACCGGCGCCTGCTCAAAGGGTTGGGCGTCAAAGTGCGCGGCATGGCAAAGACATATGGGGCCATGCCTCAAAGAGAAGCGGTTTTAGCGGTAGCAAAAGACAATCTGTGGCCTGAGTCACTGAGGCTTCAGCCTCAAGCCCTAGGCTAGGCCCCAGCCCGCAAAAGGCCCACGGCGACCTAAGGCCCAGTCTCATTGCAGAGGTCCTCAACGCCGACGGGAGGCTCTAAATCCCCTTAGCCTCTCTCCACAGCCTTTCGGTACATGCTTCTCATGCGCTCCTGGACAACAAAAAGCCTTCCGACACCACTGTGCTCGGGCACATTAATCATACGCTTTTGTTGCCTGCATGTGCAGGCGCGAATGAGAACACGAAGATGCAAAGTGACTCTGGGGAGATGCACGCGAACCAAGGCAAGCTCCATCCGAAGCGAAGTTCACGACTCACATTGCTGACCTGAGACCCTGAGCCCGAAACACCTTCAACAGCCGTGTCTCAACCCGACCCAAAGAGCTTAGTTGAGTCGTCCTTAACATATATCGTTCCGTGGCACTCCCGTTTCAGTGAACAGGCTCCTGAGCTCTGTCGACCCCCACTTGCAGGTTGATGGGTAGTTGTTGTAAGTAGGACAACTACAGTTACAACCAGTCATAACGTATTATAAACCCATCTTAGGGGACATTTTTAGTCCCACAATTACAAGTACCCATCTGGGAACCCTCCTTAAAACAGGAGCCTTTAAAAAAGTACAGCCCATGACATGCTCCAAAACGGAGAGCACAAAGAAGACGTGGCCTGGGCCGTGAGGAGGCGCCTTGACTCGCCGAGGCTAGGGCCAAAGTGCGCGAGCGCCCGTGTCCTGCTTGTACTGGGGGTTTAAACGGCTTTTGGGTTTCTGATGGTTTTGGTCTGGGTTTCTGTGTAGAAAGGGTAAAAGGATTTTGGTCTCTGGGTTTCTGTGCAAAAAGCTTTCGCTTCGAATGGGGGGCGTGTGGTTCTTGTTCGGGGCTTGACCATCTATGAGGTTTGAGTACTCAGGGGCGTGAAGGGCGTCCTTTCTTTGCTTTGGGTTGCGGATTTTCGGCTGTAGTTTGGGGTTCCGGGTCGGGGTGTGGAATGTCAACAGGGCTTGCTAGTGTTGCTTCGGTTCAGCCCTGTTTGGGGGTTGACGGATCCACTTCTCGTGGCAGAGCATGGCTTGGCTTGTAATGCAAGCACAAGCGGCCGCATGAGGAAGAGAGGGAGAGAGAGATGCTGAAAGCTGAATTGAGAAATGGGTGGCAAAGCACATGCGGTGGTTAACCGGAAACAAGCATATAGGCTCTGATCTGAGCAAGATCACTAGGCTTCGCCTACAGACCTATGACGAGAGCTGAGGAGCTGCTGCCTACCAGGACATCAGCGTGCGACTTTGTGGCTTAAGACTGAAGCCGTGATGTTCGGAATGCTTGTGCGCGCAGCTCCTCTTTAGAGTTTCCTGGGGGATTCTTCGGATCTGTGGCCAGGCAATCGAGTATAGGGCCCTTAGCAACTAGAAAAGAGTTTGGGCGTACACCTGAGGAAAGCTTGTGTGCCGCTTTTCGTAGCATCATTTCGGAATGCCGAGTGGGGGAGCTAGCTGTCCTCAACCGGGATTCGTCATCAGAAGGTGGCTGTTTACCCAAATCGAGGTAGCTCACTACAAGATGCAGCTCACAAGGTCCAATCTAAAGCAACTCCTCAGCTGTTCTTTCCGTGCCGGATCCTTCAGAAATTTTCATTGGCCAAAAACAACTCTGAATTCGCAGGTGCCTGAAGACAAAGGCGATGCCAGCAAAGGCCGCCAAGACCAAAGCAGCCGCCACCAAAACGAGAGCAAATGCCTTTGTCCGAGCACCTAAGGCTCCATGGCATGGGACGCAGTGCCTCAGAGGCCATCGAAGGGAAAAGAGCGGGCTAGTAAACCAGGGCAAAGAGATCACGAAATCCTACTTGAATCATCTCCGGCGTCCAAAAATCACAAAAAACAAATATGTGAGCTGTTTTGTGTGGTTTGCTGTCTTGGCACGGTTGTAATTGAAGCCTTCCTGTGCTTGCGAGTTGCTGCTTCGAAGTGCGGTAGCCAGTGGCACATTCCAGGCAGAGTGGCCCGGCATATCCTTACAAGGCACAAAGCCAACAAGAGCGGAGTCCCCCAAGGAAAAAACAGAGAACTTCAGGCCCTGCCCTGGTCTTCCGACATGCGTCCATCGGCGCACTGTGACTCCGCGGTGTCGGCGCAGCGACCGGCATCCAGGCACTTGAAAACTTCCTCTGCGTTCTCTGAGAGACGGGCGAAGTTCTTTGCCGCTTTGGCGGTGCTGGCCAAAGCTCCAGGCTCGGGGCAGCGAAGGTGCAGCTTGCTACAGACCTCGCAGCGGCCTTCTGCTTTCAGCAAGGCTGTGTGCGCCTCACACTGGCAACTTGCGTTCGCCCTCTCGCCTTTCGCAGCTTGCGCGTTTCCGAAGGTGCACTCGCAAGCCTGCAAGGAGCTTGCTCTCGGCGGTGCCGAGCTGTGCACTGGGCAGGCGTTGCACTCGGCTTGATTCTCCGTATCACTGAAGGTGTTTGAAGGGCAGCTGCTGCAGTTAATGCCAAAGCCTTTGTGGCCCGGACGACAAACGCACATCTGCTCCGGCAGGAAGCGGTCGGGCGTCACGCGGAGGTTGGTCGCCGCCAAGTCAATGCAGGCATAGCCGGCGTTCTCCTCCGGAGGAGACCTGGAGAGGGATCCGACTAAGTAGGCAACTCGTCACAAAGTCACAACCATACTTCTACTGGTGTCCAAGTTCATGCACGGACAAAGGCCTCGTATCCTGCAGCTTGAGCTCCTTGTGCAAGAGAGGTTGCACTTCTTCGCGATTCGCAAGCCTGCAAGCACCGCAGCTTCTGTTGTTTCTGCTTTGATAAACGGGGCTTTGAGCCTTTCAGCGAGCGGCCTGGTACGATAAAGGTTCAGGTCGACCTCCGTCTTCACCGCTTCCGCCAGGACCGCAGGGCTGATGACAAGGGGGCCCATGTTGCGGCTCAGGTCCATCCGCAGCAGCTTCAGAGGGAGTACTGACAAGGCCGTGACATTGTTTTCCGAGAGATCCAGCGCCCGCAGGGATTCAGAGAGCACGCTGGCCCAGACCTCAAAACCAGTTCCATCCACCTCAAGACGCATATTGCTCAGGTTGGGCATGTCGCCTTGGAGTCCATTTCCAGCGGCAGCGATGCTTGTGAGGGCTGTCTCGGCAAGCGGCACAAGTAGCTGTTCAACGGTGCCTCGAAACCGGCAGCGGCTCACCTCAGCTGAAGCGCGCGGACGCAAGCGAGCCTGAGCCTGGAGTCGGAATCCATCAAAAACTGCAGGGGCCAAGCCACGTCCAAAGCCTGAAGTGCAGGGAGCAACCGCGGCTTTGTGGAGATGCTGAAGACGGCTTGTGGTGCTGGCTCATCGCCGACGCGGCTGTCCTCAATGAGCTACAGTACCGTGCAGAGCTATCAGTTTGTCTGAAATGCAAAAGACGCGGAGCAACAATCGTTCAGACCCTGAGCTCGCGTCGTCCAGCCAAAGCTCTCGGAGACGTTTGCAGCATCCTAACCACTTCGGAGAAAACCAACCAGACACCCGCGTCTTTGATAGATCTGCAACCTCCAGCTTCGTCAAATGTGTCAAGGCAAAGATGTTTCCAGTGACGTTGGTGCTGGCCATGTAAAGCCTCTCCAACTGTTCCAGGTACCGCAAGCTCGAGAGGTGGCCTTGGATGCCCGTCTCGGTGAGTCTCAGGAACCGGATGGATGGGAAATATTGCAGGTCCTTCAGGTTCCCGGTGATCTTCCTGGCCTTGTACAAAGTCAGCGATTTCATCTTCCGAAGCTTCTCTATTGCTGACAGAGACCCGGAGATTTCGGGGGCACCCTCGATGCGTAGACGATGGAGCTGGCTCATGTTCTGCAAGCTGGAGATGTCTCCGGAAACGTTGGTGTTGTCGATGTCCAACATCCTGAGCTCAGTGAGGTCTTGTAAACCGGAGAGATCTCCCCCGATTCCACGGTTTCTTTTGAGGTAGAGATCCTTCAGCTTTGTCAGGTGCTTCAGACCAGAAGTATCTCCCGAGAGGTGGACGGCCTCGAAATCCAGATACCGAAGCTCCGGCCAAGGTGGCAAGCGAGACATGTCGCCAGAGATGAGGGTCTCCCTCAGAAGCAGCCACTGAAGCTTCTGCGTTTGAAGGTTGGAAATGTCTCCCGAGACCTGCTCGTGGTGAATGTGCAATCTCTTGAGCTCGCTCAGACCACGCAGACCCGAAAGGTCGCCGGAAATGCCCGTCTCTTCCAAGTACAGAAAGCTCAGCTGGCTCAGGTTTTGCAAGCTGGCGAGGTTTCCGGAGGTGTGCAGGTTCTGAAGATACAGCGTTTCAAGCTTGGCAAGCCTCCGCAAGCCTGAAAAGTCTCCAGACATCGGCGCATGTCTCAAATGCAGAGTCTTGAGCTCCGTAAGGTTCTCTAAAGCAGATAGGTCTCCCGAGACCTGCACGCTGTTCAGGGTCAGGGTTTCGAGCTTGGTCAGGCCGCGTAGAGAAAGCAAATCTCCGACAACATGGGGACCGTGAAGCACTAGCACGCGCAATTCGTGCAGAGGCTGCAAAGCATCAATGTCGCCAACGGCATCAGGAAGTATGATCCTCAGTGTTCAAGAACAGGGTAGAGCAGCTCCTGTTGCACTTGCAAAGTGTACATTAACCCAACAAGCCGAAACCTGGGCCACTCCGGCTCCCTAACCGCTCTAACCTTCTGCGAGCCCAAGGTCTCGATGACTGCGCACGTCTCCATCTCACAGACGATGCCATGCCAGGCGCATGGGGGGCCTTCGCCTTGCAGGGAGCTCTAAACGATCGATTCTGCCCAGCTCGACTTGATCTTCGCAAGATCAGGGCAGAGCACCAGTGGCTCTGGGCAGGAGGGCACATTTTGTTGTGCATGCTGTGCTCTGTCGTCGTGTTGTCTCTGATTCCAGTCTCACTGCGGCAAAGTCATCGAAGTCTTCGTTTTTTGCTTTAAAGTGCGAGAGACCCCTGCTCCGACTTGCCCTTCTGCAGTCAAAACACACTTGACAAGCAAGACCTCGAACCTTCCCACACATCCAGAATTTCAAGAAACTCCGAAAAGTTCGGCCCTCTGGTTTGCAATGCCATGTGTGTTGGGTTCTCACATGTCGGAATTGTTGGATTTTGTCAAGAGTTTCCACAAAGTTAGCCCCTATGTTTCGGATGATCGCGTGTACTCGATTCGGACGTTTAGAAAACCTTGAAAATTGTAAGTTTTGGATATGGGAAAAATCTGAAATTTCGGAATTTTCTGAAGTTTCAGGGATTACAAGGTCTTGAAACTTTGGAAGTTTCCAGGTTGGCAGAAAGTTGGGGCGAGATCTTGAGGCTTTAACAACTCGCAAACCCAAGCAAACACCTTGTCGTTACGGCTCTTTTGGCAGTGTTTCATCCAGCTATATAGTCGTTGGCTACACTAAACTCAGACAATGTTCACCGCATCTCCTGAGCTCTGAATCGAAAACATAATTTAGCAATGAACGGAAGCCTACAGTATCCAAGCAATGTTCATAGACATCTAGTTGCCAATGCTCGTATTTATTTGCGACGATTTTTGTGTGCACGTAGTATTTGTTTGTTCCTTTCGTGCTCACGATTAAACCGCAGGATGCTACGTAATGTTTAGACACTTTTTTCACCAAAAAAGTACTGGCTGACATGTCAGCAAAGTTCCTCAAGCCTAACACGTAACCAAGAAGTGTTCAAGCGTCAAAACCATGGCAGCCTATGGTGTTTCAGTTCTTCAAGTGACACTTGCAACCATATCATAGGCTTTCAGTAAAAGATGTCCTACACGTGTTAAATGGTTCAATATCGAAAAATAAACCACTGCAGTAATGATACCTGAGTAGATAATCAGACGAGACATAGTAGCTAAGCCGTCTTAACTGTGTGAACCTTACATGCTTTTTGCATCCCGCATGCTACTGCGGCTGCTGCAGCCCCTTAAGCACAGCTTCAAGTTTGCCGCCAAACATCAAGACGAAACATCACGAAAACTAGTTAATCTAAACTAAGCCAGTAAGTGGTCACGGGTAAAGTATTGCCAGTTTATGGTTAAGTAAAATCTCATTAAACGGTCTTTATATACCAGTTGTTTAAACATTCGTTTCTAATTGATTTTGAATGTAATCACTGAGCAATATGTCGGCATCAACCAGGTTCTGAGTGTGAAAGCATGAAACATCTTACTGTTCTGTCAACATGAAACATTCATTGCGTGCCAAGTAGCTCACACATTGACTGCGCACCATGTAACTACTAGTGTAAAGTGCAAACTTACTCCTTTCTTTAATGACAATTCGACGACATTGGACGTTAAATCCACATAACAGGTGGCTGCAGCGGTAATGAGGTAACAGGCGAAGACTTAAACAAACAAGTACTGACTATACGCTAGTCTAAATACACAAGCGGAGCGGAAATACGGTGTAAACATTGAACGACTAACAATACAAAATCAATGGGTCGGTTTGCATATTGCATGTTAGATCTCCTAATTCTACATGCACTGAAGTAGTTTTCTTCATCGAACTGGACGCCCAATGAAACAGCATCATTCTTGAGTTTATAACATGCAACATAAAATGTTGAACGAAGCATTTACTGGTATTCAGATTGTTCCGGTATCTACCGGGTACAAACATTTGACAGAGGTGCCCGTTGCACCGGTCTAGTAGGGGGAATTCCTGTGATGATACAGATGGTGATGAGTGTCTTGCTAGGCGACAGGCTTGGTGAGAAAACCTGCATTTCGTAGATAACTCAGTCTGGCACTGGCTTTGCGACAGGAAGGGAAGAAGGAATACATGCCAACAAATCTAAAAAAGGATTCCGGGGCTTTGAGGTGGGAGGTGGCATATATGTATATATATATATATACACAAGTTTATGTACAGGTACATGCATACATATACATACATATCTAAATACCCCGCTTGATGCATCTTGAGAACCGGCTCGCCTCCTATGCCCAGGTGGCCAAGCTGCCACGCGACCTCTGCAGCATTCTGACCTTAGGGCACACTCGTCGAAACCGTGTGTAGTTATCTCTACAATCTTTGCGGTGCAACCGTCGCAACCGTCTTCTGGCATCTTTATGGTCTGGTCTGGGTGTCGATTTCGCTGTAATAACCTCCTTTCCGAACGAACACACCGTGCCCCACTGGGGCTCGGACATTCCGCGTCTTCCGGAATTTGGAGGCGGAGCTTTGGGCCCGGCAACATGCCCTTCGGGGGATTGGGCTTTGAGGCTTCCTATGGGGGCCCCATACTATGGGGCCCCCAGTTGCCTACCATAGAGGGGCCTTCATAATTAGAATAGGCTGTTGGGGGGCCCATTTACTATAACTACAATAGGGGAACCCTCAAAATAGCACGGGTAGTTGTTTAGGCCCCTACAGTAATTGGGTGTTTACAATAAATCGTAACATTGAGAACCCGAAAAAGCACAGAAGCAAAATTTGGGATAGGGATACCCCGAAAAAAAGCCTTATAATGAAGCCCAATAAGGTAGGGATAGCCCTGTAAAATGCTTGTGCTTACGTCCTTTTGGAGTTCCCTAACAAAACACAGGTGACAGATCCAGACCAGGACTGAGGTTCATGTTCACGGGAAGAGGCCCGCATGGAAGTTTCAGTAGATCCTTATTGTAAGCACCCTCTAGAAGTCAGAGAAGGAGAGCAGCCATCGCTTCAGCTTTGCAAGGACTCTTCTGGTCCTCCTTCCGCGCGACGTCCGGTCCGAGCTTGCTCTTCGATCTGCCGTCCTTAGGAGTTTCCCAGGAAGTGCATCAAAGAATCCCAAGGCAAGGGCTTTGAACTACGACTGCATCGATCATGGCATGTCCTAACACCCAGAAGCATGTAGAAGGGAAGTGGCAACATAAGCACACATCGACGCTAGCAATAGAGGTCTCCCCGCGTCTCACTTCGGGCTCCGAAGTGTTCCGCGCAATGGTGCTGTCACCATTGCCCCACATTTAAACACCTGCGCTATCATCGCCGCCGGTGTCGGCAAGGTGATTTTTCATTGATCCCCCTGAAGAAACTGCTCATCGTTTCCGACCAAGAGGCATCTCGCAAAGTCAGTCCAAGCTGGAAGGAGCACAGGGCCACGACGCCTTGGCCGAATTCGACTCTCGACTGCCAGCCTTTCAGGTCGAGCTGCAGGAATGCAGCGACGACAAGGACCACGTTATTAGGAGTGTTACTAGGTAACTATGCAGTTGCACCACCCCTAAGTCACTAAGTCGTGACCAGAAACCACTTGTAATACAGCAACCGTCATAACTAGCAAAAGTAACATCTTCACCTTGGCTTGGAAGTCAGCAATCCATAGCCTGCCAAGATACATAGTCTCGACGGGCGCATGGACGTACTACATAGTGAGCAAACAACATGGGCAGTCCCTTGCGGTCATGTCCGCGCACTTGAGCCCGAGACAGTTCAGGATTCACAGAGTGGGGGAACGAAGGGATGGTGCATGCTCGGATCCGGGCGTCTCGAACCGAGGAACGGGTCATACAAATCCTAGGGTCCTAGAAGACCGTTGCATACCTCAAAGCAACTTCAGAATCGGGCTGCTTTGCTGCATCAGCACATGGACTACAAGGAAACGCTTCCCCTCCCTGCCGCGGCCCTTTTCTCTGCATCGCAGACGGTGCTAAGTCTTCCTCTGGAGCCCTGCATCGAGTTGTTTAGGTTTAAGTTTCGAGGGTTTCAGGGTAAGGGTTTAGGAAGTGTAGGGGCTATGACTCGGGGTTTGAGGAGGCGTGGGATATGATTTGGGGTGCTGGGTGTGGCCTTGGCAGACACCAAGCCCCAAGCACAAAGCCATCCTTCTCCTGCACGTCGGCTTCTTCTAACTTAGGCTTTAGACAGGGTCTACCAGGGTTTTCTGGGCCCAAAAGTAAGACCCAAAGAACCAAATCCCAAGTTTGATCTGGCCGTGTAGTCTTCGCTTGTAGCCCGTATGGAGTTATGGTATAGGCAAACTCCCTCCCCTATCTTTTCAAGAACACCGTTTCCGGCCGTTTCCGGGTGCTGGGGCATTGCTGGAGTGTGAAGCTTCTCCGGTATCCGTAAGGCTTAAGGGCCTTCAGGGCTTGGGGTTTCGACCTTGAACTTAGGGGGTTGGGGTATGCTTCGGGTTTTGCCTGGGGTTCTACTCTTTGTTCTGCCTTGACGGCTTCACTGCAGGGCAGGAAGGTGTTGTTGGGTTTCGGCTCAGGCCTCACGCTCGCTCGCGGCAGGCAAAGATTTAGGGATTTGGGAGAGTTTACCATTATGCTCTTGGTGTCAACATCCACTAGAGCGGCATTTTTGGAATTAGGTTATAATGCCTCCGCATCTGGGCTCCGTCGGTTCTCGTGCTGATGCCTCCTGAGGAGGATATCTGCAAAAGAACACTGAATTCGTTGTAGGCGCCGAATTTTGGACGGCTTGCTGGCAGAAAAGCCACAGGGGGTTTCATGACCCGCCCAGCTCTACGAATTGTACAACAGCGGTTCAGGATGCTAAATTTTTCTGAACCGGATCCAAACTCCTAAATCGCCTCGCACGGGAACATGATTAAGATGTTCCTGCAAGGCCTCCCTACACTCGACTGTTGCTGCGACAAAAAGATCATTGCGATGACAACTCTGTTTCGGATGTCGTTGCTTACATGTAAAGAGCATACTGACCCTGATGGGCCTGTGTGTTTCTAACGGTGGTAACAAAACTTATACCTTGAGAATCGGCGGTGTCATTGCAAGATGCGCAATGCAGACCCCTGGCTAGTGAAGCCCCTTTCAACTTCTTCCAACATTAGGATTACCATCATAGAAGGGGGGCCTTGTTAATCAGGGGTCTGCTAAACTGCTAAGATGCTTCTGTGAATTTGCGGCTGTCTACAGCTTTGTCTGACGACAGCTTCGCAACTGAGAGGATGGGACTTCCACTTCCTGGGCGGAGTCCGGGAAACCGATGCGAACCTGGCCATGGGCAGAGATTTTTTGGGGTGGGCTTAGTTTTAGGTTTGGAGGGTTCGCCGTCAGCCACAGATAACTAAGTTATCATTGTTTTGGTCTCCGTTCATGGCATCATCAAGCCGCTATCTGCATCATCATCTTCTTCTTCATCATCCGGCCACTCCTGCCTCACAACCCGCTTTCGCTTTGTCATGTCAGCTCCGTCCCCGGGACGAACCGTTCCGGGCCAATGACCTTTTGGTAAACTTTTCGACGGCCACATAATTTGTATGGTTTGTTGAAGACTGCGTTAAGCGATGGCGAACATAAACATGATATTATGATAATTCCAAGATGTCAACATGAGAATGTCTTTTCAAAAATTCTACTCGTTGTTCTCGCAAGAACTTTAAATGACTGCTTCTCTGGGTGGACATTTTTTAGTATTCTTGCTAGCAATATGCTGCAATATACTGTAATGTACCCTAGCATACTTTAATATACCAAGATATAGTCAGCTCAGCTCCGGGTGCAAGGTGGCAAGCACGCAGAAGTCATGCAAAAACTTCAAAACCTGGTGACCAGAGTTGTTCCTGCCAAAGCCTGGCAGCTTCAAGCAACTTAAGGGACCTTTTCTTACCTTCCAAGGTCTGGGGGTTTTTGGAAGCCTGAACCCATGGGCTTTACATCGTAGCCGGGTCAGGGTACACATAGTAGTTCGTGTGCTCAAGACGGGATGGCGGCCGTCCCTCAAGTACACCGGCAACTGAAATCTCCCAAGACACCGCAGGCCCCAAACCCAAAGCTCTCAACCCAAAAGGGCTGATGTTTCGAAAATCCTCTGCCCAGTGCAGCATGGTCAAGATGGGTGAAGCAGCACAGAATGGGGCCGAACGAAAACGAAGGCCAGACATAAACACGGCCAGCAGAGGCTAGAATGAATGAAGGACTATTCGCCACTCTCCCATCAATTCAACCGATTTGGTGGTCGCACGAAGCCAACGATGAGTGTCCGACCCTAGTGAAAGGCCCCTTTTGCTCCCACCCGCCCAGCTGAAACTGCAGGCTTCTCGAACCCTTTAAGTCTAGTGCGAAAGGCACAAGCGCCTACCGAGGCTCGCCCAAACCGTGGGCTGAACCCCCATCATCTAAGGACTTTAGGAGGGATCCCTAATAGGGACCCTTAATCCCATTACCTTCAATAACCATTGTACCGTCCTTATATACCCCTTATAAAGCCCTTAGAACCTACTGAAGCCGTTGGCTTGAGGCCGAATGCCCAACCTGCACCCTAAACTGCCATACTGTTGATGATACAAACCCTGCAGTACCTTAAAGACCCTAAACTATGGGAATTTATGGGTAGCGCAGGGTTCATATCATCAACCCTACAATGCCTCTCCCTCTCGAAATCCGAAACCTCTTGAGCTGATGTAAACACAGAGCCAAGCGAAGTGCCAGGAGATCCGGGTCTCTACACTTTCCGAGTCTTTAGAGTACCCTTAGAGCATGTTTTCTTCAAGATCCGTGCGTTATCCTTGTCGTGCCCCTATCGTCGCATCCTATATTTGCCCAGACCAAAAACCCCTCAATCCTAAATCAGAACAATTCCCAAGAATCCCGAGGCCCCAAACCCTAGACCCTTAACCATCAACTCGAGATCACAATCCTCCAGACCCTACATAAAAGGAAACTACAGGGGGGGAGCTTATAGACCTTCTATAAGGCTCCTATATTCATGTCCTAGACTACATATCTTCAAGCTATCATCCGAGGGACCAGGCTATCCAAGTCTTTGAGGGCCCCGGTCTCCATGGAGGCTGCCGAGGCCACGTGCGTCATGGAGAGCTCCGAGAGGGCCTCTGGTTTCTTGGGTTTTCTTGGAATTACATGTGTGTATATATATATATACTATATATATATATATATACACTTCTTTATTTATCTCTACCTATCTGTCCATCTCTGTCTTTGCTCTCAATCTCGGCCTCTCTTCCACCTTTTTTTCTTTCACCAGGGTGCAGGAAGGGGGCGCGACCACCCTCCCTGCGCTCCAGGCGCCCCCCATATGTTGTGGGACTCTCTCTCTCTCTCTCTGTATATATATATATATATTCATGTGCGTATGCACTCTTGTACGAACGTACCTCTAGGAAATAACTAAATAAATGAATAGATTACATATATAAATATATGTATATGTATGTGTGTGTGTGCAAGATTGCGTGTGTGCATGTATGCATGTTTGCTTGTGAGTTTGTTTAGTCAATTTGTTTGTTGTTTTGTCTGCTTTGTTTGCATGTTTTGGTTGATTGTTTTGTCATGTTTGCTTTTGTTGTTGTTGTGGTTGCGTGTTTTTTTTTTTTATTCTTGTTTGCTTATTTGTGTTGTTTGCTTCGCTCTGCTTCTTCTTGCGTTCGCTTTGGTTGTCTGTTTGGTTTGCTTCTGTTTGGCTTGTTTGTTTGGTTGGTTTGCCTGGTCTGGATGTGTATGTTTGCTTGTGCGGTTTGTTTGGTTTGCGTGTTTGTCTGTTTTGTTTGTTGCTTAGGTAGTTGGCCTGGATCGTTCGTATGGTTTGTTTGCTTGGTTTGACTGTCTGCTTGTTTGTGCGTGTATTTGTTTGTTGGTTGGCAGGCTTTTTGTTTGTTTGCTTTTTTGTGTTTCTGTGTTTGGTGGTGTTTCCAATTCTGTGGGTGTTATTCGAACCTCTGTTTGTGCTTGCTGCGTTCAAGGGTCTTTGGTTTAGTGATTTTTTGGGGTGTGATGCCGGGTGCTGCTGGGGCTTCATGGGTTCAGGCCGGCATGTTTCGGGTGTTTTGTGGCACAAAGCTCACAGCTTCCAGTAGTCGTCGTGGTGATGGTAGTGGTGGTAGTAGTTGCGTCAGTAGTGGCAGTAATGTTGTTATGATTCTTGGTAGCAGTAGCATTAGCAATCGTAGTAGCAGTAGTGATTAGCAGTAGTAGTAATAGTAGTAGTTGTAGCACCAGCAGAAGTAGTAGTACTAGTGCCATTACCAGCATTGGCCGTATTGGCTAGTAGTCGCAGTCGTAATCACGTCTTAGCCATAGTAGCCATAGCAGTCGTAGTAGTCGCAGTAGCAGTCGTCGTCGTCGTCGTACTACTACTACTACTACTACTACTACTACTACTACGTACTACTACTACTACTACTACTACTACTACTATTACTACTACTATCCGCAAAACCGAATGTGGCACTAGAAAGCCTTATGATATGGCACAAGAAGTCACAAGAAGCATCGACCTCTCAATATCGATACACGCTCAGGGGGATAAGTGTAGAATCAGCGGTTTTACGGTGAGGGTTGAGTCTAGGAGCTGTGGTCATGGGAACTTCGACCGTCGTGTTGACCACCACCGCGGGACTCCAGCCAGTGCTGCGACCGAGGTAGACCTTGCAGGAGTTGTGCGTCAACAGGTGTTGCAATGACTGTGTGCACAGACCCACCCAAAGACTAGGAATCGTGCAAGTCGTCCAGTCTAGTAGTACTGCCTGTACACCATGATGGCAACCTGTAGCGAAACTACGTGAAGTACTTGGGACAATTCGTGCCCGTTCCAAACCGAGTCAAGGTAGCCCCCCATGCAGATCCATGCAGCCTGCTCGGTCGGCCCCACAAACTTGACCCGAGAAGCGAATGCAAACGAAAGCAACATCCCTTCCTGATGTAGACCTAGAACAAAACCTCAGGACAGGGATTAGGGTTGAAGGATTTGTGGGGTGTGAAGATGTAGTAAGCGCAGTACCAGAAGTGGTAGTAGGAGTAGTAGGAGTAGTAGTAGTAGTAGTAGTAGTAGTAGTAGCAGCAGCAGCCGCAGCAGTAGTAGCAGTAGTACAGTGTGCTCGAAATTAAAACAATCATTCGAGCAAGATTGCCAGCAGTCTTGGTCATGTTGAGTCATCTTGGTAGACTAGTCGGCGAGGTGAGGCAAGTGGGACGGCAAGTGGGTCAATATGACCAAGATTGCAAGATTGATTGCAAGTTGACCAGTATTGCTTTGCAGCTAATGGACCTAAGTTTGCGGAAGTAGCAGACACAACTAGCTTTACGCGCGGGTGCCGCCAGCTGTTGAAGTTCCCGGCACAATGCAGGAGTAGTAGTAGTAGTAGTAGTAGTAGTAGTAGTATAGTAGTAGTAGTAGTAGTAGTAGTAGTAGTAGTAGCAGTAGTAGTAGTAGTAGTAATAGTAGTAGTAGTAGTGGTAGTGGTAGTAGTAGTAGTAGTAGTAGTAGTAGTAGTAGTTGCCTCGACGGCCGTGCCCGCCGCGAAGCGTCGGCGCAAAGAGCTCAAAGGGACCTCGAAGCGGTCGAAGGTGTCCTCAGTCATGACCTGAATGTTTTTTTGCAAGCGGTCCAATAAATCCGTTACAATATACGGCACTTGGGATCTCTTTGACACAGGGGTCTTGGGGTTTTGGCGCTTGTGCATGCGTCACGATGTCGGTGTCTGTGGCAACATCATCGTACGTGGCGAGTATTGTGGGAAGCCCATGGCATATCCGATTTTCTCCAAGATGATTGTAACACCCATATACCTTCTGCATTCATGGCGGCTGCTGCTTCGCTGCTTCCTACATTACAATGACGATGTCCCACTTGGGCAAAAATGAGACACTCATCTGCCGGTTGTAGACAGGCTCGTGAATTTGCCAAAGGGCTTGGAAGCATTTTTGCCATCCACAATAAACGAGCATGTTCCAAGAAGCGCGACATTCAACCTCAAGAACCCAATTATCTGTGCTGTCTCAGTTTTCGTGGCACCTGGAACATTGCCCGATGGGGAGCACGTTGGAGTGGCGGCGACTTCAAGACCATCGCTGGCTTCCAGGCTGTATGCTTGGCAGAATACATGTCGACACTGTCACCTTCAGGGGCACAGGCAAAGCCTAACTTCAGTTCGGGGTTCGCCGAATCCTTTGCCAACCCCGATCTCCCACATTCTGCATGCAACAGCCCCCCCAACCCAAAGCATTAGGTGATGGAACTTGGCGAGGCATGCTGATAGGTTGGAAACTCAATTACGAAGCTTAGCTCCTGCGGCACGTTGCTGTCCAATTCCACAGTGCCAAACCCCAGTCGCTAATGCTTCAATCCCCAGCCCCCCGCCAGCTTCGAGAGTGGTGCGGAGGGCACACAGTGGAACATGCTCTCGCATTTGGCCGGTGCCCACACGACATCTGTATAAGGGCAGCTCACCTGGGACTGGTGCAAAACTAGGTCCGAAAAGCTTCAACAGCCGTGCTTGCTATCCTTATGGACTTGTTGGCCGCTGACTAGTATCTGCATGTGACATAGGCTCTGTGTCTGGAACAGCAGGACCTACCACCAGGCTTGCAACGGACGCGCCTGGATCGTCTGTCAAGAAGAAGCCAGAACCCAAGATTTTGGCGGGCACGAGGCAGGAATGGGTCGAGGAGAAATACAAAACCCATTCGCCGTCTTGATACGCCTCGATGGGTGCCAGGGATAGCACAACAGACAAGTCGTCATCCAAGCCCGCCGACACGATGGAATCGGTCTCCATGGGGTACAAGTCGTCCAAACCAGCAGAGACCAAATCATCGGCCTCCGCTGGATATTCATCGTCCACGCCAGCGCAAACTACTTCAGCTGACTCCGCCGAGTTGTAAAGCGCATCACAGCCCAGGGCCTGTTTTTCATCTGTGTCTTGGATGTGGCTCTTGTCAACCGGTCTTTGTTCCGCAAGGACACCTGCAAATGGAAGAAAAGGGGCGTTTGGGGTACCTATGCATATAGAGTTTACATCTGCGGCCGTGGGCGCACCGATATGACCAGCATAACTGCTTGCCGACATGTCTACACTGGCATCAGCATTGCTTCATTACGGAATTGGCCCCTCCTTCGCAAACCTTGCGATGCCACCAACCCCAAGCGGACCGCTACATCCACAGCTTCCGATTGCTCAGCCCTGTCCCCAGTCGCTTCTCGGCGTCCAGCTACCTCGTGCCTACACAGCATATCCAAGGCGGCAACACCAGCAGCACCCCGCCCCACGAGTAAGGCGGGGTTCCCCCTCAGCCCTGATGGATGTACACTTCTCCAGATTGACTATGGCTTTGCGTGGGTCCATGATCGAAGAACTCAAGTACATGATCTCAGTTCGAAAGTTCCACAGGAAATGAATATGCAGGTGTTTCTTCTTGTGCTTGACCCAAAGGAACAGTGCAACATGTATTTCGAACCCCCAGACATCGATGCAACACACACACACATCCACACACTGCCTACTTGCTCCTGGTAAGGAAGGCGTCCGCCATGACATCGTTATGCAGACTGAAGTGTGGAGGCGAGGATTACCCTGACCGTGTGACCTGCTATAATCCTCCAAGCCCTAAGCAGTGAGTCCCCTGCCCTGACTATCCACGCGCAACCGCGAATGCCTGATCCATCCGACTGGCCTGTGCGTGTCGGGCTGACGGCGATGTGCGAGTCCAAGGAGTTCACCTTGCCTTCAGGATTTACGGAATTTACGGTTGAAGGTTTCGGGCCGGTCGACTGTGGCTTTCAGGATAACTTTCGAGACGACTTCCTGAACTGCTGAACATGTGCTTCTTTACAGCGACAGCCGAGTTGCGGAGAGGAGAAAGCAGGTTCAAGTCCACCACCACATGCCGGGAAGATGCACGCAAGTTGCTCAAATCTTCCATCGTGCTCCGATCCTGCAAAGGTGTCAGTCCATGGCCAGGAGATTATGGAATCTTGGAACCCGAAAGCATCGAGCGGACAGCCTCCATCTGCCACTTCACCAGGACCTTCTGCGCCGTCTTGGCCTCGTTAGCCTCCAGATCGGCGACTTCTCGCTCGAAGAACACACGGCGTTCCTTTCCATGACGGTTCCTGGAGCGACACACTGGCTTTTCTTGCTATCCTTCTTCTCTCTTTGCCGCAGCGCTCAGGTCGAGATGCTGCTGCTGACGGTCTTATGGAACGGGCGATGATCGTGATGGCAATATTATCTCGGTCGCGCAAGTCTGCGCTGTGATTCCCTTTGTATCATTCCTCAACCCCATGCTAAGGAACTTCTAGCTTAGAGGGTTGGTTCTTGTTGTCTCAGGGGTGCTAGGAATTAAAATGGAGGTTAAAGATAAGGGAGACGCTGCTTGGGCGCACGGCCAAAGGGATCTCTGAGCACCAGGTGGCGCTATGTTTGTCAAATCTACGGGTCGCGCTTTGGGGCTTTCAGTTGAGGGCTGAGAGCTTGGCTCCCACCTTGGCGGGTTTACGAAGCGCACCCCAGCTGATCTCACCGAGAGTCTTCAGGGTCACGTGGCCCGAGGTCGGTGCACGAATGCGGCGGCAGAGGAAGGGGCAAAGCAATGAGCAGCACAAGCAAAGGAAAGCGACGACCTTAGCGGTGGTCGTTGCACTGTCTTTTGCAACTCATGGAGACATGGCAGACGGCCTAAGGCTTCTGAAGCACATGACTCTTCGAAACTCTGCGAGCTCAAAGACCGGAGCCAACAGTCCAGACACGAGCATTCTGTTTCTACAGCCCTGCTCCACCCAAAGCAAACTTCCAGTGCGTGTTGAGGGGCCAGAACGATACCGGCCATATAGCTCTGTGCATCCACACGCAGCTCGGCCATCCTGAAGCTTGTCGTCCCCGGCCCACAACCTGAAGCCTGAAACCCTGCAGAGCCCTTCGTCGCCGTCGCCAGCATCCATGGTGGGGATATTCCCAGGAAAGGGTCCCAGTTCGGACACTGAAGATCACCATATCGCTTTTGTAGAACCTTGGCCTCTATAGCGCCTTGAAGAGACGGCCTTGCCTGACGTAATGTAGGCCCCGGATGAACGGACACCCTTTCTGTAAAGGCCCTAAGATCAAGATCCTTCGGGCTTCCGTTATTAGGTCTAAGACTTCCAAGCATCTCCATTGCCGTAGGCCATGGTATCGCCTGCACCAGCCCGAACCTGAGGTCTGGACACTTTGCATTCTCTGCTCTGGGAACCCCGGAAATGGCTTGAGCTTTTGGGGAGCCTGGGTGCTTGGTGGTATTCAAACATCTGTTGCGAGAGCTGGGTGACAGCAGCAGAATGATAATAAAGAGCAGCAAGAGACAGTGATGTGTGCGTAGTCCGGCACCAGGATGCATTGATGACCTCTCCATCCACCTTCAAGCGGACTTCGGACGAGCGTCTCCGGGCTTGCAGGCGGTGGCTTGGAAGGCTCGACTGCAACTTGTCGCACCCCCGAGGAACCACCAAATGCCGTCGAGACTAATCCATGAAATCTTGACGGTGCAGACAACCGAATCCCGCCGCAATTTACTACAAGGATCATCTGTTCGTCTGGTTCTGTTTGAGCCTGTGAGCCTGAGCATGGTTGTTGCACATGTCTTCTTCCTGCTATAGCTGCTATGGCGTCTTACTCATATCTCACTCGTGCCTCGCCTGGTCCTCCTCTTTCTACCAAAGGTCGAGGGCCTATCTGCCTCTGATAGTTCTTGTTGCCCTAAAACCAAGACACGCTTGCATCTGCGGCTCCTTCCGGCCAGGCCTCGAAGCTGGGGAGTAGCTCTGTGCCAGCGTCGGACCAAGCGTTCAGGTCCAAGTCATAAAACACACACCTTTCGGTGGGTACAGCAGGTGTGCAGTGACGAGGTCTCATCTTAAGTTCAATCTCTTCACATTTGCTGCAAAACCGCGCGCCTCTCACCGGGCAATGCGGAGCGATTCGCGAGCATGAACACGATGCTGTCAGTCCCATTGACGGCGAGCAGGGTCAGGCCGCCATTCCTTTCGCTGGCGAAGGACAGCTCCGTCACCCGAGAGTTTAGTAGCACCGTCTCGCCAGTTGTGGTTACTTGCGCAAAATTGCGTGTCTCCTCTGGCGCGACTTCCGTGACGACCATAATGGTGTTTCCGCTCTGGGCGAAGCTGCGCAGCAAGGCCTGTGACAGGACGACTTTGATCGGGGAAATGGCATTGCCCGCCTCGAGCACCGTCTGAAACGCAGGAGCTTCCTTTGGGAGCTTCAACGCCGAAACGTTGCCGAGAGTTGTAGAGGTACTGTACACGCCTTCACTCTCGGAAACAAACAAAAGGGTGCTCTGAAGCGATTGGACCACAATCTGCCCATGAGGACTCAACGCCACGCGTGGAGGAACTACCACATTCCGCACCAGTGTTGAGGAAGTCGTGGTAGTGTTCGGCTGGGGAGTTCGTGTGGTGGTGACAGAATGTGATGTCGTGGTCGTTTGGGTGGAAGTCGACTGGGTGGACGTGCTGGATTCGGTGGTCGCAGTGCTTGTGCTGCTTGTCGTGACTGAGCTGAAGGTCGAAGTGGTCGAAAAGGACGAGGTGGTCGACAAGGTGGTCCTGCTTGAACTCGTCGTTGTTCGGGGTGTAGTTGTAAGGGAGGTGGTTCTGGATGAAGACGTCGATGTAAAGGTGGTGGTTGTGGTGGTTTGCGATCGCGTGGTAGATGTGGTCCGGGTTGACGATGTCATGGTAGAGCTGGCCGTTGTGGTGACCGTGATGGTTGTGCTGCCACTCGATGAAGTTGAAGTTATGCTGGTTGTAGAGGTACTGGTTGTAGAGGTACCGGTTGTTGTGGTAGAGCTGCTTGTCGTGATTGTGCTGCTTGTGGTTTCGGAGGTTGTGGTGACGGTATCGTGACGATAAACCCAAACGTCGTCCAGAAAGCTCGACCCGTCATGACCACCGTAAACAATGATCTGACCTGGCTGCGGCACAAAGCTACTTCGTCAACCGGAATCCTGCAAGCCACTGGTGACAAAAACGCAAGAAGAACCCACATCCTTCCCTTCGGAGAAAAGTTACATAAAGTACCTTACATCACATCCAGCACCCTTATCGTAAGCTCACATACAGTAGCACCCTAGACACATCATAGTAACCTCACAACAGTACGAGTTCTGCTGCTTTTCTCGGCCGGGCAGCTGTCCGCCCAGACCGCCGCATGGAAGGCCCGAGTCGGCCCAGCGGTGTCCAGCAAAGTCCAAGTGTCCAAAGCCGCGTCGTAGGAGTAGAGATCCTGGGGGAAGGTTTAGGAATGTTTCGGGCTTTCGGTTTTTTTAACGGCATTTGTTCGTCTGCTGGGCTAGGCACATCTTTCTAGTACGCGTAGTTTGTAGGTAGCGCATGGGGAGTGCCATGGGAGGGTTCTTTCTCATTCACCCTCAAGGTTACTGACGCTGATGCCCCCCATCCCTGTACGATACGATCTCGGAGCAGTACGTCCATTGGCCAAACCAGTTCCTATTGCAGCGTCCCAGCGCAATGCTAACTCAAGACGCTTGCAAACACTTGCATGAAGACTCCACTAATTAACTGACTGACTCATTTGGCAAGGATCATCAAGGTACCCGGAGCTAGTGCCGGACATGCCGCCAAAAACAAACATCAGCCTTGCCGGTTGATCCCACACGGCCGTAGCAGAGTGCCGCCGAACAGGCGCACTGCCGCTTGGGAAAAGCTCATTCCAGGAATTTCCATCACGGGCATACCCCCACAAGTCCGACAGCACGTTAAAGCCATCGTATCCGCCGAAGACTAGCATCACTTTGGTGCTCGCATCCCATACGGCCATGTGGCTGGATCGGCGACCGGCGGCAGCACCGCTCGTTGACGTCCATGAATTCGTGCCAGAGCTGTAGACTAGCAGCGTATCCGTTCTTGACGAAGAAGTCCATCCTCCATATATGAGAAGTTCTCCGTCGTCCGAATTCCACACTGCGGTGGCGAACCTCCGTACATAACCGCCCTGGTATGCTGTCCAGCCGCTACCCGCTGCATATCCGTCCAAATCGTCATAGACAACATTGGAATTGGATTGCCCGCCGTGAATGTACATGGTTCGGCTCGCAGCATCCCAGGCTGCGGTGTGCTCCTCGACGGCATTTCCGCCAGCGGACAATTCCGTCCAGTTGCCTTGCACTGGATCCAGTGAATAAAGCTCGTTGCGGCGAGTGGTCCTGCGTCGACCGCTTTCTCCACCATATACTAGCATCTGGTTTCCCGCTGCATCCCAAACCGCTGCATGCCCCCGTCGGGCAACTGGGGTATTGGTTGCAACCAACTCTTCCCACGTCGCAGATGCAATCGCCAGCGAAATGAGCATGCAAAGCTTGTTCATCGGCCATGTGCATCTGAATCTGGAAACAAGGCGTCTACCAAAGATGTGTGGAGGGATGTTCAACGAGAAAGACTTAACTGGCTAAAGCGACTTAGTCTGCGATGAAGTCAACTTATCTGAAGCATGAAAGCGAAACCAACGGCACCAACTCATTGTGAGAGCGCCGGGAAAATTCGCTTGAGGAAATGGGCCCCGCAGGAATTCGACCGAGCAAAACCCTGTCCAATCCAGCACAAGCTTTGGCGTATTTTCTTTAGATGCTGATTCTGCTTCAACGCAGAAGCTCAAGCTATGCAAGCCGGACAAATTCCGCGCTACGTCCACGGTCCACGCTGATAACACGAAGCTTTGCATGGTTTGCTTGAATGTATGTAAACTTCTGTGATGCACCTGGCTACTATACGGGGTTGCCACCGCATGCCAACAAAGAGTCTACGAACTCGTTTCTGTACAGCCCCCGGTCATTGCACGCCGCGGGCATGTTGCAGACACACGCGGTTGAAGCTTGGAATTGAGCTGTCCCTTGGTCTGATGATGTCTCGCGGCATCTGTCTCAACATACTGTCAGCTTGACGTTCTTCAGCGAGGCGTATGCGGAGCGGTCATGCCAGCATGATGTCGTGTCCGTGGTGCAACATGTCAACCAAACTGGTGATGCCGCTGCAGCGCACTTCCTGCATGAACTTGGCCGTGGGCGAGCCGACATAGAGGCATCGTTGCGGTTGGTTGTCCCCGGTGTAACGCGTGCGGATGGTCACATCCCGAGTCAGCTGCAAGATTTAATGTTGCAGGTCTTTGGTGGACGCAGGTTGGCCTAGGACCTGGATGCGGCAGCGACTCACTTCAGAAATGCTGGTGGGTGGCCGGTGGCCCTTCGCATTGCTGATGAGAACGAAGCATCCAAGAAAAGTCCAGCTCGCTCGTGTTGCCTTGTTGCTGACGGAGTTGCCGTGACACGTGCGAGAAGTTGTGACAGGTTCGAAGGCGGGGTTGAGACTGCAGCCTCCTTGCGCACTGCCTCCGAGCCAGCGCCGGTGGCTCGTGATACAGCGATAAGTGAGACTGTGTTGTCTTCACTTGTCACCGTCACATCCTTACATCCGCATGTTTGTTCGCGTCAGAACCATCCACGCTTCGGGGCACAGCGGCGATGTACACCGTGCAGCGCGCGGTGAAAAAAGATTGAACGGGAGCCCGTTTATTTACTTGTCGCATCGTGGCCTGTTGTAGGTCATGCTTCGGACTTCCTGCGGTGGCGACCGCTCGTACTGCGAGCGCGGCCCAGTGCGGTGCTCTCCAACGGGTATGGCCATCAGGAAACGGGGCAAGTAAGAGCACCTGCCGCTGTAGCGCCCCAGTTGGCACACTTCATGAGACATTTTTCTTTGCCGCGCGACGAACATGTGCAGCGTGTGCAGTCGATGTTTGACTCCGGAGTTTTTCGTGATATTGGCCGTCCCACTCTGCTCACTCAAGGCCCAACATCGTGTCGTGGGTGTATAGTTGCGTGTCTGTGATCCTGGCACTTCCGGGGCCACATGTGGTCGTGTGAGATGCGGGGTGTAGTATCATGTTGCCCATTTGACATGCTACTTTCCTGGTGAGGAACAGATTATGCGTGAGATGTTATTTCCATTGTTTGAAGCATGGACGCATGTGTCCTTAGTTGGAAACATGTCCTCTAAGGCAGCCTGGGGTTGAATTCTTTTGTTCACGCACCTTTTTGCGGCCGCGTCGGGTACTGCTGGGGCCTGTTCTCAGGCTGCCCGCCAGCAACTCACCCAACGGCTCCTCGGTCGTCGGTTGGGTCTGGGCCCTGCGATGGGCAGCGCAGGAGTGTGCCCGGAGCGCTGCGAAGGAGGCCGAGGCTTTCCAGCGCTGGTTCAGGGCTTGTCGAGCGGCTGCGGCGCACCATGGCACCCGCTGGCGAGCCCTCGCCCGCCCGAGCAGTCGCAAGAACGTCAGGGTGCCGCGGCGGCCGCGAGCTTGCCGAAGTTCCGGGTAAGCTCGGTGTTTGCGGTCGACTGCCTGGTCAAGGGCGAGGCCCGGTTGATGGTCAGCCCGTGGGCGGGGCTGGCCGTCCGGCGGACTGGGCTGATGGGAAGGCCACCTCTATGCGGCATCCGTCGCCCGCTGGTACGTCCAGGTTGAAGTCGCGGATGTGCTTGCAACATTGTACCGAAATGTCGTGTGCTACTCACCGTTACTGTGAAAATTTGGCATCCCCTGGTTGTGGCAGTCACTGTCAACACAGGCACTGTGCAGCTCATGTGTGTCCAGGGAACATGCTGCATCTCCCCAACATGCATGCCGGCGATCGCTTTGTTCGAACGGTGTTTCCTCGGCTTGCCTGACAGGGTCTTGCCCAACACATTGCACCAGTCGACGTTGTTCGTGTCATGCGTCTGTGTCCTAGCGGCCTGCCCTTGGTCGCGCCTCCTCCCCCTAGGCCGTAGCTGGGCCATAGCTGCTGACGCGGACCGTTCTCGGCCTCTCGACAGACGCAAAAAGGATCAAAAAGGCGTGAAAAGAAAACACCATTGCTGCGGTCGAACGTGTGTGATTGTCGGAATGCTGTGTCGCGGCTTCCACCGCCTCCGCAGCCTGCCAGTGAGCGTTGTGGTGAGCGATGAGGCATAGACCTGTGTGTGGGCGTTCTACTGTTGGTTTTCGGTCTCGCCGGATTGTGATGGTGGCTTTTGCCCGCAACACGGTTGGATTGCAGGTTGCTCGCGTACGGGAGCTCCAGACGTACTGGATGCCAAGGAGTCGTAGATGTGGCATGTTTTTTTTCTTGTCAGCGGCATTGTACCAGCCGGAGGTGCTGTGGTCGTTTAGCTCTTGGGCGCGATGAGCACCCAGGAGGAGATTTGCGCCAATCGTCACCCGTTGTGTATGCGCCCCTGCGGCAGTACTTGTCTGAAACGTGTTCTGGCATTCCTACCGGCTCACATCCATGACTCGTTGGAGGAGTTGCCTGAATTTGCGAGCGCAGGTGGTCGGAGAAATGCCGGCGGCTCTCGTCGGCACCCGCCACCACCGCGAGAGCCGACCTACGTAAGGTTGGCGCTTTTGAACTGCGATCGATTGTGGATGCCAGGCAGGTCGGAACACCCTGCATTTCATGGGTTGGTCAGGTTGTTGCAAGCTTGGGGTGTTGATCTCATATGCATTCAGGAAACGCGTGCTCCACTTGGCTCCGCCCTGCCGATTGACCAGCCGTTTGTTCATGACGGGCCGCATGGCATACATGGTTGTGAAGCAGGTTTCCTTGTCGAAACGGGCCTCATCGAGATCTCGCTGGAGGTGTCTCGCGCATGCCCTTGATCGCAACTCGCCTGTTTTGGTTTCTAGCTTTTATGCCCCGCATGTGTGTGTCTATATCGCACCGTGCGGCATGCTGGAACGATCTTCGTATTTCAATCCAAGCCGTACAACTCTATATCCTCGATGTGAACTGCTTTCAGCTGGGGATTGCAAAGTCTATTTGGGCGAAGTTATGGGGTTTGAGCGGGGAAGATCTGGGGAACACCGGCTTCGTGAACTCCTCCTAGCATTTGTGCTGATTTTCAGCTTGAAATGGCAAAGCCCGTTGGTGTTCCAACGCATCGTTCCGGCTTTAGCATTGACCTGGTGTTGGTCTCGCGTGGACTTGCCATTCGCAATCTTGTCTTGCCTGGTGGGAGCTCCTATGCATGCCCCGAAGGCTCTGGTTGCCCGATGCGTACTAGCGACCACAAGCTCACCACCGTTCAGTGCAAGGAGGGCGGAGAACAAGGAGATCCGCTAATGCCCGCCTTGTTCCCGCTCGCTCAACACCCCGCGCTTGAAGACGTGCAGGGGCAACTGTGGGACGGGGAGGCCATCTTTGTGTATCTCGACGACACGTAAACCCCGGAACGGATCCACGAGCTGTACTCGGCGTACCAGCGGGCATTGTGGGCCCACACGCGCCAACTACCTTCTGCGTTCCCTGCCCCCAGCTACGACAGCAGCCTGACGCGGCCGTCGGCTGCTGCCTCTCGGCCCAAGGGCCTTGTGGACGCACCGCTGCCCCCCCAGACAGCACGAGCAGCACGGCTTGCGCTGAGGTTTGGCGGACTCGGTCTGCGAGCAGCCGATACCGACCGCCACGCAGCCTACTGGGCTTCTTGCATGGACACCCTGCTGGTCATCCAAGCCCGAGACCCCTCAGCTGCGGAGTGCCTGCTCGCAGCCGCACGCGACGACAGAGCTGCGCGGTTGCCTTCGCTGTTGGCTGCAACACAGGCAGCGGCTTACTTGACCACACAAACGCAGACCCTTCCACGCTTGCGAGGAGCGCAAACTCGAGACGCATCTTGTTAACTTGTCCCCTGCGTCCCGTGCGCTGCTGCTCTCGCAAGCCGGTCCTCACGCGGCTCGTGCTTTCACGGTGTTGCCCACGTCGGATGATGTTGCCATACCCGACTCACACTTCCACGTCCTGCTCCTGCGCCGCTTGCGCATGCCCCTCCCGCTTGGCCCGCGCAGCTGTTCTTGCCGCGGACCATCGAGCTGCATGCTCCAGATGAGGCGTGGTCGCTTCCCGAACATTACCCCTCGAACGCACCGGGGCGCGGGTCGGACGCAATGTCGCGCTGGCCGCCATGAACATTGATGTGGTCCAAGATGCGCGTGCAACGGCCGGCCGCTTTGGCACGGCGCGCAACTTGCCGTTGACGCCACGCTGGTCCACC